ATGTTCCATGATTGGCTTGTGGGCTGAGTACTGCCAGGTTGCCCAGGCCAAGGCAGGTGAATTTTCTTGAGGAATCCACAACCGGAGCCTTCGGCTAGCCAAAGCCTGACCCGCAAGGCAGCGGGGCGGTGTGCGAAAACCGCAGTCCATTGGGAGCCGGTGTCCAGTTCATCGGATCATACGCCCTTCGGACGGGGTCAGACGTCCAAGGTGCCCAATACACCTCAATGCCCAATCGAGCCGGTGACCACTGCCACAACCGAAAAGGTGTGGGTGTGGTTCGTACGTCTCCTCATGGTTGGTTTGGAATCAGGGTTTTTGGCCAACTCCCCTAGGTGAACTGCCAGTGGTCCACCAACCCGGCTATAGCCCCGGATATCGGCTTTTCGTCCTCTCACTTTGGTGGGAAAACACCTCCGCCGCGAGAAGGCAGTGAGTAGGGCTTCCTCAGCAGAGGTTATTTGAGACGCTTGGTCGTATGGGGGCATTTCGTGAGGTGCAAGGGCAGGGTGACCAGCCGCAACCCTAGACACCCACCCCCAACCATACTGAGGCCTTGGGAGGTAGTGGCGAACAAGCTCGTTTTCAGTGATTCGCATTCATGCCAGTACATCACAGAATATATCGCTACTTTGGAGTAAAACTGTCTGGGAAAATAAAATAAAATCACAGATTACTAGAAATGATTTCTTCATGGGACCGGAACTCTGATTCACCACGATCGTATAGGTGTTTGCCCACTCATCCGATCATCGAGATTACTCGTGATACGGAATGTGGGGTGGACCAGGGAAACTTTAGCGCTTGCATAAATTGTTTTTGGGCACGCAAAGGAGGAGTGTGCAAACGAATTCCTACCGTTTCCGCTGTGGTTAGCATCCGACAACGAACCTGTAATTGCCCACGAACTCTAAACAGGGTACGGAAAGCCTCAACTACATTCCCAATGTGATTCGTTCCAGTTAGATGTGAAATCACTGCACTGGCGAGTGACTTAATCGTTCCGATGTTCAGCCAACTAGGGTAGTGTCCACGAATCCGTTCGGACACTCGTCTGGCCATGCGGTCTATGTACGTTGTCCCATAGAAACAGGTAAATAAGTATACGCAGAGTCGGGAACTTTGGCCTTCAATCGCAACACACATAACTGGACCTGTACAACACACAGAGTTGAGATTCATAGAAAGTTTTATCAATTGCATCGGACAATCTTTTTGTATGGTTTCAGCTGATAAGGCCCCCTTGAAAGGCAACGAAATGTACACGGACTGTTTCTTAACCTCGGTGTTTTTTAAAGAGTCAATCGTGTATTAAATGATTTTGTTGACTAAACGTTACATGGAAAGGTCGATCTTATAACTCGGAGCTCTACTTCTAGCGTGTCCTCACTGTAGACCTTTCTTGCCCTACCCGCTAGGCAACGAACCAGGTTTCTTTTTACCTTAAGCGGCAGAAAGCTTCGGAAATGGATGTATTAAACCTTTTAAGTTACCTTTCCACGCATCGAACCATTTGATCGACGGTTGACGCAGACATCCAGAAAAGGCAATTTGTTGTTACACTCCGCTGAAAGTAAATTTTATGTCGGGATGCACCGTGGTGAACCTGTTTAATAGTTCCCTTGAGTTTGATTTTGCGTTGATCATACAAAAAATATCATCGACGTACCACGTGTATGGTAAACAGTCTTCAATGGTTGACTGTTATTGAGTGTTTTCAAGTTTCGTCGTGAACGAGTCCGCAAAAAAACGGTCCAAGCGGAGACCCCATACCATACCATCCTTTTGTCGATAGATTTCATCGTTAAACTTGAACTAAACATCATACGTGCAGAAGTAAAGCAGTTGTTCGAAGTCATCCATAGGGAGGCCAATCTCTACATTATCAGTTTGCACATAACGGCACAAGTATTTAATCGTTTCGCTGATGGGAACATTTGAGAAAAACGAGCTACCGTCCAGCGAGAACGTTATTCGATCGACCAAGTTGATGTCACGAATACTGTTCACAAAAGCGAATGTATCTTTGATACCATGTTTTGCCAACCCAAATAGAACGGTTTCATATAATTTGGTCAAACAGTTTGACTAGTAGCACATCCAAAGTCGGTGGTACTAGTACTACATCTTTGTGTAATTTTGGCAATCCATACGACCTCGGAAAAGCAGTCGCGGTTGGCCAAATACGTTCGAAAGTGAACGCAACATCGACTCCTCTCTGACTAAGGCATTGCAGTCTATGCACCCAAGCTTCATGTGTTGTCACGCTCAAGCCAATCGCATGTTTTCGATTGAAGCACAAAGTTCCCGACTCGGCCGTCTCATTCTGTGCTGTTTTTTTACACCGGCTTGAAAACAAACATGGCGCAAATGCAAAACAATGCTAATGAATTTATGGTGGCTTACAGAAAGATTAGATGAAAGTGGGGAAAACAGAGAACACGGAGAACGAATGCATAAATGAAGGAAATTTCTTGTAGGTTCACCGTACAATTTTTGAAGATTTTTTTTGCCCTTCATCGTTTTTATATACTGGAGTGGCCTCTCCAGGGGCGGGAGTGAATAGACAAAGGAAGCGAGGAGGTACGCAAGCAGCTGGCCTTCTGAGGTTGAGCCTCGTTTTACCTCTACCTTTTGACCTTTCAGGCATGATTGGATCTGCAGTTCTCGGGAGCCATCCTGTATAACTCATAGGGTCATGGAGGTGCGCAAGCTATCACGTCACGTCAAGATGCAGTCTTGATGTGATGGCAAAAGTTACAGAATGGAGAATTGTCTATGAACAAATATCAAAATAATAACGGTAGAGAAGGTACAGCACAGTAACTACACGACGGTGGGATATTGGCTTCAAAGTGAAAGAGGATCGTTGATTGGCTCGGTAACCTTCCGTTAAATACAACCAAGAAGGGGCAGAGTGAAGCTTCCTTCGATACGTCACTGCAGTATTCAAGAGTACAGTGGATTTAAGCTTTGTACGACAGAAGATGAGTAGTACATATATATATATATATATTTTTACACCGACTTGGGGTAAAACAGAGAACACGGAGAACGAGTGTATTAATGAAGGAATTTTTTGTAGTTTCACCGTACACTTATTGAAGATTTTTTGTGTTATGGGGAACGGGGTTTCGCCAAACAAACCGCACAGCAATCGCGCCACTGACATCTATTCCGAGCCATATCTCCCAGCGTCTCCTCATCCCTTGGGCTCCAGCCTGGAAGGCGAGATGCACCAACCGAAGCCAATGCTGAAGCCACCTTCTTCATTCCTCTACACCACGTCATGATCTGACCACCGCGAAGCTTCTTCCAACCTTGCCCAACACGTGCAAAAAGAGCACGGTGAGGTAGTCGATGAGCAGGCATACGCAAAACATGACCAAACCATCGGAGGCGGTGTAGAACGATTTCTTCCGCTTGAGA